CACAGAGAAACTGGAAGAGATCTTCACAGCAACTGTCCAAAGTGATTATTTCATTCGAGACTCTCTTTTATAAAGCTCAAATACATAGGCAGCAAACTTAACCTGGTTGTTCCTGGCTCTTCACCTGCATGCATGCGTGCTAAGTGCTTGCTTAGTTGTTCAGTCATGTCCAACCCTTTGTGACCCCGTGGACTATAGCCCACTAGGCTCCTCTGTCCATGGGGATTCTCCAGGCACGAACACTGGAGTGAGTTGCATGCCCTCCTCCAGGGGATCCTCCTGACCCAGGGATCAAACCCACGTCTCTTATGTCTCCTGCATTGGCAGGCGGGAAAACCCAGCTCTCTCTCTGGCTCCCATCAAATCCCTGTTTCTGAAATTCATTCATTCAATCCATGCTGGATATCTTGAGGGTGTACTAATATGCTTTAGACCCAGATAGTCAAATGTCTCTAAGGAAATCAGTAAAGAAACCCATGAGAAATCCCTAGCAAAGAGCCTGAGGGATGGTGGCCTGATGGAAGGGCCAGCCATCTGGTTGCCTGTGAACCTCGCTGTCCTTGTGGGAACATCCTTTCATTAATAATTCACCTTAAAGCATCTGAAACCTGCATCTCATTTTAATGCTGAGAAAACCAGCATTTTCCTGCTCCCGATATTTCTGGGGAATCGTGGAGGAGTAGGTTTCCCTGGTTCCCTCTTGTTCTAGGATCCTCTTCAGGCAGAATACTCATTTGCTCTATCCTTCTCTGCTTCTTCTTGCTATCTTGTCTTCAATGTGATCATCATCCCTTGATCCCTGGCTCCCCACAGCACGCAGGACACCACGTATACTAGGCATGCTACACTGAAGGTGTAGAGAACTTACACAGCCACAAGGCCCAGAAGGTGACTGAAAAAGTAACTTTAGAGGTCTTTGCCCTTGAGCGGTACTCCCTGGACCCCACCTCTGAGACCACCTTTTCACTGGTCCTCTCTCTTCTCCATCCTCCTAGCTTCTTCCCTGTTTCCTCACCACCATCACCACCTCCACCCTCCCTTCTCTTGTAGATTGTCCTGGGAATCTCAAAATTCCACTTCTTTATTATATAAATCAGATCAACTCCTGTCTCCTCCCTCACTGCTGCTCAAAAGAAACAAGGCCCATGAAAATGCCTTACAAAGCAACAGTCACCCAGGAGAGCCTGCCTCCACCCATTACATATCAGAGCCTGCAAACAGGTTGCAATTTACAGCTTCATTTTCTTCGGTTTTCCAGCTTTTTGTTTTGAATCAGGGCTACATTCTTGGGGAAGGCATCCTTACCTTGGCCTGAAATATGTAATCTTTAAATGCAGAAGTGGTACCCATTTTGTAAAAAATTTGTTTCTAATATTTAATAGCATTTACCCTTTTCTATTATAGATATTTCAAAAACTTTCTTGACTCCGAAACTGATTTTCAAAACCTGTGACAGTCTTCCTGACCCAGGAGTTGAACCTGGGTCTCCTGCATTGCAGGCAGATTCTTTACCAACTGAGCTATCAGGGGAGCCCTGTAAATCTGAGGTGGATGATAAATGTCTGTTTTGCCATGTTTTAATATTTCTACTATTTCACCATTTCTAGCATGACCTGCCTGATGTCCCAATAAGGTCACATTTCTTTTTGAAGTGATCATTTGCTGTTAACAGAGCCCCAATTTCTCTTGTTCTCTCCCGTTACCTCCTTGCCACCTCCGGTTGAATGGTTTGAGAACCTCAGAGACTTAACTGAGTCCAAAGAAGCCAGCCTTTCCCTATTTCTCCAAAATTTAGCTCCTAAACATCTAGGTTCTCCAGCTAGAGCTTTGATGGTTGCACTCCAGTTCTGTTCTCAACTCTGCCTTTCTAGCAAGATGTCAAAGTCAAGAGTGACTCCCAGACTCCAATATACGCTGACTCTCCCTCTCTCTTTCCTGTGCCTTCTCTTCAACGATCGTTGGGATCCTTTCTGTCATGGACTTTAGCTGAGACCACCTCAATCCATCAGAAAGATTCTAATCAGAAAGGAAGGGCTCTGAAGTCTTGATTTCTTCTCCTCCTACTGTAACTCTTGCGTATTTCCCATCCTGCTCCCAAATCACCAGATCTACCAAGGAGCATTGGGGAAAGCATCTCTGCTTGGCCACAAAAAAATCCGATTACACTTGCCCTCTGCCCAAGGCCAATGAGCACTCACATATCTGAGGACTGTCCGTGTGACTTTCCCAGGAAAAATAAGATATGCTCAAGAAGTAATAAACAAGTTCTCTTGCTGGAGAAACCAGTCATAATAAAAGTTATAATTTAAATTCCCTCTCATCACACTATGTTTTAAAAAATCATGTATTTGTAAATAGGTCTCCCCATTAAAGTCTTTATTGTTGTTCTTCCTATAGGGCCGGCTATAGCTCACATGAGAGTTTTGGGGAGAAATTCCTGATAAAAGTAATTTGAGGTTCAAATACCAATGTTAACATCTGTGAGATATAATGCATGTGTCTGACACTTAATAAAACTCTGTAAATGTTGTAAATTGCCTTCCCAAACCATTCCTTTAGTTGCAGTTAACATCTTTGGAATTTTGGTGATCACATGCTGAATCTCATTATGTTTAAAACCTAGTTCAAGTGATAAACCTAAAAGAAAGTAGAGTTGGTATGAATCACAAGTGAAAATAGTTATTTTGGTAATATGCCAGAGGACACATTGATTCTTTCAAAATTTAAAACAAGGACATTAAAATCTGGGGATGTCTATGCTAATACCCTTAAGGAATCATAGCATCCTGCTTCTGGGGTAACTTGAATTTTAAACCCCTCTCTTGAGGATAAGCTATTCACAGTCTGATGACTATCATGGAGATCACCAAAGCAGCTACCATAATTATAAGATAGAGTAACTGTGCCCACAGGAGGCCTGGTCGGGTTATCTGTATGGGCCCTACACCACGTGCTAAGTCACTGCAGTCGTGTCTGACTCTGTGTGACCCCGTGGACTATGACCCGCCAGGCTCCTCTGTCCATGGGATTCTCCAGGCAAGAATTCTAGAGGGGGTTGCCATGCCCTCCTCCGGGGGATCTCCCCGACCCAGGGATCGAACCCACGTCTCTTACATCTCCTGCATTGGCAGGTGGGTTCTTTACCACTAGCGCCACCTAGAAAGCCCCCCTACACCACACAGAATGGCAATAAAATTTTTCAAAGTGCTTTCAGAGCCTCTGCTACCAAGCACGCTCACCCCAGACATAGGAAGAGGTGTAGGACCAAGGCTGGGCCAGCCTTGGTACTCGACCCGTCCCCCGTCACCTCTGTGATTGGTCTGTGGTTGGAGAAAGATGGGCGCTGAGCCAATCAGGATCTACACCCAGATTCCTCTAAGAGAAGTTAGGAAGGAGGACCGCTTTACGCGACACAGGCAAAGCTGAGAAGATGTCAGCAGGAAACTGCCAGCAACTTTGGTTCTCGTCCTCCAGAGAGAACTAGCTCTCTGGAGGAGGGAACGGAGCCCACATCCCGGAGAGGTGAAGATGAGAGGAGAGCCTTGAGGGAAGGGGTCTCTAGAGCCACCATCTGCAGTTCACCCCTGCCCTCTTCAGCTGAAGCTGGTTTCAGTCAGGTGTCTGTCACTTGCAATCAAAAGAGTTTTGAGTAACTCGAAAGTTGCTTCCAGCTACTGAGGTCCCCAGACGCAAGCCCAAGGCTAGCATGGTCAGATGTTCTTTCGCGGCTATGAGTCACAGCAAGAGTGCATTCTGATGGATCCTAATTGCAGTGTACGCTTGCTCGGGCTGGGTTGCTGACACTTGTATTTGACTTTTCTGGATTCATTTTCTCTTTCCTCAATTTCTCCATGAGTCGGTGGCCCTCAGGATAAATACTGTTTCCACTCCTCCTCTAGAGAAGTACAACCCATTTCCTTCTATGAATACTATCAAAAAGAGAAAAAGAAACACCTCTCAGGTCAAAAGGAAAGACAGGAGTGTCAGCTCCATGTGGACCGGAGGAATCTGCCAGAGGTTCCTCCTCCGGGAGGGACTTGTCCTACACAGAGCATCAGTGGGTTAGTTTTGAGAGCTTGTTGTTGTTTAATCACTAAGTCATGTCTGACTCTTTATGCTCCATGGACTGCAGCACGCCAGGCCTCCCTGCCCTTCACCATCTCCCAGAGTTGGCTCAAACTCATGTCCATTGAGTCAGTGATGCCATCCCACCATCTCATCCTCTGTCGTCCCCTTCTCCTCCTGCCTTCAATCTTTCCCAGCATCAGGGTCTTTTCCAATGAGTCAGCTCCTCACATCAGGTGGCCACAGTATTGGAGCTTCAGCTTCAGCATCAGTCCTTCCAGTGAGTACTCACGGTTGATTTTCTTTAGGATGAACTGGTTTGATCTCCTTGCAGTCCAAGGGACTCTCAAGAGTCTTCCCCAACACCACAGTTTGAAAGTATCAATTCTTTTGGTGCTCAGCCAATTTTCATGTCTGTACATGACTACAGGAAAAAACCATAGCTTTGACTAGATGGATCTTTGTCTGCAGAGTGACATCTCTGCTTTTTAATATGCTGTCTGCATTTGTCATAATTTTTCTTGCAAGGAGAGCTTATAGGGCCCTGATTTCTGCAGACCTTGGCATGGATGCCTGCTACCTGGATGCCCCGCAATGAATATGTGCAGAATGAATGAGAGCATGATCAGGTAAAGAATGATGGAAGGAAAAAGGCATCCTTCACCCTCCAGACCACGTTGTTCTCTTCGTCTCTTCCAGGAGCACTGTTTACATTCCAGTCCTCACCGCACTGCACCGAAGTTGCCTTTCATGTATATTTATCCCCCATAAGACAATGAAGAGCCGGGGCAAAGGGGCGCCTATGGAACACAGTGGAGAATAGTGTTTCAAGAGTCATTAATTGAATGGTGGGTGAATGAACAGAGAGTCTGAGTTATGAATTTTCTAAATGTATTTTTATTATTTTTTAAACCATAACAGCTACCAGCGTTTCCAAGTGAAGGCCCTGATGAGACCAGCTTTTATGGCCCTGTTGAGACTCATTTATGAATTCAGTCTGTTTACACACAATAAAAAGTTGTGGACCAAATGCTTTGGATCACACACCCCAGCAGCCTTTGCAGTGTTCATTGGCTTAAAAAGTGCCTTCTCCATAAACCTACTGTGGGTCAGGTAGATTAAAAAAGACGCCCAACAGATGAGTGCTGATGGCTGCTGTTGACCCCCTTGGGGACTCAGCTGTAGAGAGACGCTCTGGGGGCAGTGCTGGACGCCAGCGGCCTGACGGAATGCTGGCTCTTCAGGACCAGGGAAAGGATGAATCTTTCGAGATGAATGAAGAGGCAGATCTCAGAAGTGCTTCTTCCTGAAATTATTTCAAAGCCTTCCTCAACTTCCATAGAAAGCCACTTGCTTCTCATGCCCAGAATCACCATTTGTCCTTACGCCTGGAATTATCAGTTCTTTCTTGTTAACCCTAAGTCCTGTCTGAGTCTTTGTGACCCCATAGACTATAGCCGCCAGTCTCCTCTGTCCATGGGATTCTCCAGGCAAGGACACTGGAGTGGGCTGCCATGCCCTTCTCCGGGGGATCTTCCCGGCCCACCTCTTGCCTTGGCAGGCGGATCCTTTACCACTGAGCCACCCGTTAGTTCCCTGAAAACCGTTTAAAACCAGCCTCCTGGTTTCTTGTTCATCTTAAGATCGGGCAGGAAGGAGTCAAGGAAATGCTGCCTTATTTAACTGTTAGTGGCCTTACTTCAAAGCAATGAGCCAATTATCAACTCTAAAATGGATCTAAAATATTGTTTTGTTTCACGGGGCCATACCTGTCAAGTTCTCTGATCAGAGCAGCGGCGACTCCAGAAACCAGGCTGATGGCGCCCTCTGGTGTTCAAACAGCGACGTGAGCCTTTGAAATTATGGAAGCTGGGGCAGGGGGAGGAAATCAATTAATGCCCCCAGGAGAGGAACCGTCTTCGATACAACTTGATAGTCCTGTTCTTGTCTGAGATGGGGAGAGTCCAGCACCGCTGCCCTGGAAACGTGGCCTGGTAGCCCAGCATCATCCTGGGGGTTTGCTGGCCGGGAGGTCAAATCAGCCTCCTGTTGCATGATTAATTAAGATAGAATGTCACGGTCCTCCCGGGCGCTGGAGAGAACAATGCCCCACAGACCCACACTCAGCATGTCCCTCATATCCCGGCTGAGACGAGGCTAAGAAGAATGTGTAGCGTAGATGCATTGGGTGTTGGGTATAAAGTGATTCAAGAGGCAAGTGCTGAGCCTGGGGTGGGGAGGAAAGAACCACAGCGAGGCACAGCCGGTACTCTGGCCTCCATGCGCCTGCATGATGGGGAATCCAGTGCCCAGCCTGACTTCCTCCCAGTCAGCAGCGATCCAACCCATCAAAAGGTAGCTGCTATCCTCCCGCCTTCTCCTCAGAGTGGCCCAGCCAGCAGCAAATGCAGCACGTGGCCTTGGCCCGGAGGAAGTGGGTGCCCTTTAGAATGGGCCTCCATTCTGGCAGTGGGCAGCTCCATGGCAACCAACAGAGGATGAATCCTGCCCAGCCAGTTGTTCCAAAAATCATGACAATGGGCTCTAATGGTCCAAGGGATGAGGAAGTAGTTTTTGTTCTGATCGTGTAGCATCTGGAATGCTTAGAAAAATGAAAGAATGGCATGCCTCTGTAGGCATTTTTCACCAAAGACGGATTTTTATGAAACTTGAATGGGACATAGGCTGAAGTTGTCTATGATCAAAGCCTAGAGAATTCTGGATTGTTAGAAATAAAGCAAGACAATAGTCAACCTGACCGTCCTTTTCTGGAAATGAAATTAATGGTGATAATAATACTATCATTGAGTTTTGAGTGAAAATTTAAGTGCTTTTAATACATTAATCATTCATTGAATGTGCCAAGCATGGGATATACAGCAGTGGACATGTCTTTGTGAAACTTACATGCTAGTCAGGGGAGGCAGACAATAACCAAGTACATAAGGAAAGTCCATTTTAGATCACGATTAGAGTTACATAAACAATAAAATGAAGTAGTGTGACAAAGGCGTTCAGGAATGGCCATTTTTGATGGGGTGGTCAGAAATGAGCTCTTTGTGGAGAGGATATTTTCTCTGAGGCCTAAATGTATAGAATGTCACGGTCCTCCCGGGCGCTGGAGAGAACAATGCCCCACAGACCCACACTCAGCATGTCCCTCATATCCCGGCTGAGACGAGGCTAAGAAGAATGTGTAGCGTAGATGCATTGGGTGTTGGGTATAAAGTGATTCAAGAGGCAAGTGCTGAGCCTGGGGTGGGGAGTAAAGAACCACAGCGAGACACAGCCGGTACTCTGGCCTCCATGCGCCTGCAAGATGGGGAATCCAGTGCCCAGCCTGACTTCCTCCCAGTCAGCAGCGATCCAACCCATCAAAAGGTACCTGCTATCCTCCCGCCCTCTCCTCAGAGTGGCCCAGCCAGCAGCAAATGCAGCACGTGGCCTTGGCCCGGAGGAAGTGGGTGCCCTTTAGAACGGGCCTCCATTCTGGCAGCGGGCAGCTCCATGGCAACCAACAGAGGATGAATCCTGCCCAGCCAGTTGTTCCAAAAATCATGACAATGGGCTCTAATGGTCCAAGGGATGAGGAAGTAGTTTTTGTTCTGATCGTGTAGCATCTGGAATGCTTAGAAAAATGAAAGAATGGCATGCCTCTGTAGGCATTTTTCACCAAAGACGGATTTTTATGAAACTTGAATGGGACATAGGCTGAAGTTGTCTATGATCAAAGCCTAGAGAATTCTGGATTGTTAGAAATAAAGCAAGACAATAGTCAACCTGACCGTCCTTTTCTGGAAATGAAATTAATGGTGACAATAATACTATCATTGAGTTTTGAGTGAAAATATAAGTGCTTTTAATACATTAATCATTCATTGAATGTGCCAAGCATGGGATATACGGCAGTGGACATGTCTTTGTGAAACTTACATGCTAGTCAGGGGAGGCAGACAATAACCAAGTACATAAGGAAAGTCCATTTTAGATCACGATTAGAGTTACATAAACAATAAAATGAAGTAGTGTGACAAAGGCGTTCAGGAATGGCCATTTTTGATGGGGTGGTCAGAAATGAGCTCTTTGTGGAGAGGATATTTTCTCTGAGGCCTAAATGGGGAAAAGAAACTCGCCACACAAATCTAATGGGAGAGCCCTCTGCATGGGCAAAGGTCCAGAGGTGGGAAGAAGTTTGGCATGTCTGGGAAACAGAAAGACAGAATCCTTCTAACTGCTCATGGCATATTGTTGTTTTCTTGTTGTTCTCATTTTGCAGATGAGAAAAACTAGAGAGGTAAGCAGCCCCAGACCCTGGAGCTCAAGAGATGGAGCCAGGACCCCAGTTGGGCTTCCCCCCAGGAGACCAGCCCTCTTGAGGGTGGGCATGCTGTTCTTCGTGGGAGAGGGCTAGGGGCACGAAGCCCTTGGGTGGCAGTGATGTCCCAATTCCCCCAGCTTCTCCTGCACCTGGTGACCTCGCTGCTTTTTTGTGAAATGTTCACTTTCTCTTCTCCTTGAGGCTCCTTCGCTGTGGCTCTTCTCTCTCCCAACTCAGGGGCAGCTCCAGGAAACTGAGAAGGGATCTTGCATTTATCTTGCAAAACCATTGACTTGAATGGGCTGAGAGGTGCAGGGCGACGTGTGAGACAGCAGAGGAAATCTGACCTGCCGCATCCCTTTCAGGAAAAGAAACTTTAGGGTGAGAGGAGGTCATTTAGTCCATCCTTCTGCCACAGAGGCGGGGGTGGGGGGGTGGGGGCGCAGGGGACTCAAACAGCTTCAGGCAGATAAAGACCTGTCCTACTGTAAGGAGCGGGGGCTAAATATCTCTTCACAGCTGGAACTTGCTGACTGTATAGGGGAGAATCTATAAATGCAAAAAAATGATTGACAAATAAATACACCCAACTAAATTTCAAGTAGAAATACAACAAAGACAATTCTGTGTTCAAGTGTGTTGACTGAAATGGAAAATATCCTCCCCTGCACACTTTTAACTTGCCCTCTGGGTTTTCCCTGAGCTTGGGGCATCCCTTGGATTAGTAATCAGCTCAGTCACTCAGTCGTGTCTGACTCTGCGACCCCATGGACTGCAGCACACCAGGCTTCCCTGTCCATCACCAACTTCCAAAGTTTACTCAAACTCATGTCCATTGAGTCAGTGATGCCATCCAACCATCTCATCCTCTGTCATCCCCTTCTCCTCCTGCCTTCAATCTTTCCCAGCATCAGCGCCTTTTCCAATAAGTCAGTTCTTCGCATCAGGTAGCCAAAGTATTGGAGTTTCAGCTTCAGCATCAGTCTTTCCAATGAATATTCAGGACTAATTTCCTTTAGGATTGACTTTATTGGAATTGTATTAGTAGCAGCTAACTTAACTGAGCGCTTGTGATATGTCAGACTTTGGCCACAAATACGTCATGATAAATTTTGAAGCAGGTCCAGTTATTATCATTCTACATACTTTAATGACCAAAGTCTTACTTAGCTCTTACTCTGCATCAGGTACGATTGTAGTCCTTTCCACATATTAATTCACTTAATCCTCATTGGGCTCTTATGTGGTAGGTATTACCAACTCCATTTTATGCATGTGAAAACTGAGGCTAAAGGCAATTAGTATAAGGTTAAGTAACTTGCCTGGGTCATAGACCTAGTAACTGAGAGAAACAGATTCAAGTTCAGGCTGCCTTTAGAGACTTCATCCTGAGTCTGTTTACAGCTGTTAATTGGGAGTTTTTCATCTAAGAGACTGATATGGTAGGAGGGTGGATTCTCAGCCACCATCCCGCGGCCTGCAGCCACCTGCCACCAGCTCCACCAGGCAGAGGGCAGTAGGAGCCTGACCCCAACCCTGCCTCCCCCCAGGGCAGGAAAACATTTCTTGCCTAGAGGTTCTCCCAGGAAGAGGCTCCCAGCCCCACCCTGGTCTCTCCACACCTCTCAAATTCATCTATGCACCTCCAAATGAGCTTTTTTCACATCTGATCATCCCGCATCCCTGTCACACCCTCCCTCCTCAGCCCAGCTACCCCAGAGCTGCCAGAGACTTCCTCCTGGAACCCTCCAACCCTCCCATTGCCGGGAAAGGCTCCCCTGACTCTGCAGAGAGAGACCCGCAGGGCCCGCCCAGGTCCGGCCCCCACTTGCCTCTGTAGGCCTGTCCTCACCCTCCCAGGGGGGCCTCGGCTCCTCTTGTACCCAAGTACTTCGTTCCCTTTTGTATTTCTGCCTTTCTTTTCTTACATCTAGCATGCTTGGCCCCAATCTCTTTTCTCCCTTCTGTATTGTTTACTCAGTAGTAAATAATAAGGAATTCCCGGGTGGTTCAGTGGTTAGGACTCCACGCTTTCACTGCCCAGGGCCTGCATTCAGTCCCTGGTTGGGGAACTAAGATCCCACAAGCCGGGTGGGGCAGCCTGTACCTGTGTGCTTATGTGTGGCAGTGGTGGTTTGGTTGCTGAGTCGTGTCCAACTCTTGAGACCCTATGGACTATAGCCCTTCCAGCTGCTCTGTCCATGGAATTTCTCAGACAGGAATACTGGAGTGGGTTGATACATATGTGTGTATCATATATATGTGTGTATATATATATGTGTGTATATATACACCAGTGGGCTTCACTGGTGGCTCAGCAGTAAAGAATCCGCCTGCAATGCAGGAGATGCGGGTTTGATACCTGAGTCGGGAAGATGCCCTAGAGGAAGGCATGGCAATCTACTCCAGTATTCTTGCCTGGAGAATCTCATGGACAGAGGAGCCTGGTGGTCTGCAGTCCACAGGGTTGCAAAGAGTCGGACGTGACTGAAATGACTGAGTATATGTTTATATATATATATATATATATATATATATATATATAGTGATAAATGATAACGGCATTTCCTAGGTACCAGCCACAACTTTTTAGGGGTTTTTAAGTATTTATTTTTATTATTTATTTGTTTGATTGCACCACATCTTTGCATGCGGGATCTAGTTCCCTGGCTGGGGCTCAAACCCTGGTCCCCTGCATTGGGAGAACAGAGTCTGAGCCACTGGACCACCTGGCAAGTCCACTAAGCATCATTCTGACTTGTGTCATCTTACTTCTCACCTATAGGATGTATACGATTATCATCCTCATTTCTCAGGTAACGTTCCCAGCAGTAGTGGCAGAGCGTGGATTCGAGCTTGCTCCCGGACGCCAGCGTCATATCTCCCAACCCCCTTGTCACACAGCCCCTGAGGTTGCTTCCAGCATGAAGTGCTTGGAGGTTCTCTTCTGTGATGACGTACCCAGCACCCCTGCAGAGTTAATACACTTCTTCCACTTCTCTTATATGCACGTCTAGAAGAGCATTGTCTTGGGGGCACGCTCTCCCTCGGTAACTGCTGCTCGCTTTGAACCCCAAGCTTAACTGGAACTTAATGGTCATTCAATGATGTTGGCCGAGCTCATTGGTCAAATGAAGACGCAGGACTCCAGAAGGCTGGGTCTGTTGCCGGTCACACTGCCGGTGCCAAGTTGCGCTCAGGCTTAGATTTCTGATTCTCACTGGTGGCTCCTCCTTGCTGGATCACTGCCTCACCTGCCCAGACCTCTCTGCAGATGTGCATATGGCAGCTACATTCGGACAGTTCTTGTCTCTCAGGCATAGAATGTGGCCATGAGAATTTTTTTTTATTAATTCTCAAAAGAATTCTCCTTTCTTCCAAAAGTATCCATCATCTGTCACTGATGTAATGACGGGCACCTGCCATTCTATTTAGAACACCTCCACCTTAATGCCTTTCTCTATATAAAGGCAAATACCCTAGAGGAAAGGGTAACAGACTGAGCTCTTCTAAGCTGGTCACAGAGTGAATTCTGTGCTAGATGAGGCTCAAACCCTGGTCCCCTGCATTGGGAGCCCAGAGTCTGAGCCACTGGACCACCTGGCAAGTCCACTAAGCATCATTCTGACTTGTGTCATCTTACTTCTCACCTATAGGATGTATACGATTATCATCCCCATTTCTCAGGTAACGTTCCCAGCAGTAGTGGCAGAGCCTGGATTCGAGCTTGCTCCCGGACGCCAGCGTCATATCTCCCAACCCCCTTGTCACACAGCCCCTGAGGCTGCTTCCAGCATGAAGTGCTTGGAGGTTCTCCTCTGTGATGACGTACCCAGCACCCCTGCAGAGTTAAAACACTTCTTCCACTTCTCTTATATGCACGTCTAGAAGAGCATTGTCTTGGGGGCACGCTCTCCCTCGGTAACTGCTGCTCGCTTTGAACCCCAAGCTTAACTGGAACTTAATGGTCATTCAATGATGTTGGCCGAGCTCATTGGTCAAATGAAGACGCAGGACTCCAGAAGGCTGGGTCTGTTGCCGGTCACACTGCCGGTGCCAAGTTGCGCTCAGGCTTAGATTTCTGATTCTCACTGGTGGCTCCTCCTTGCTGGATCACTGCCTCACCTGCCCAGACCTCTCTGCAGATGTGCATATGGCAGCTA